TGCCACAACGCCCGGCTATTTTTTGGTTGCAGCCGTCATTGTTGTTTGGCGGGTCCGGGCTGGGGATTCGAACCCGCCACCTCAGGTGTACGTGGCTGGCGCCTTAGCCACTTGAGCCACAGGCACTGAGCCAAATGTCCAAATTTTTAATGTAACCTTATTTCAATGTTTTAAATTTTATTAAATAATTTCGGCAGGGTGGTGCCTGTGGCTCAATGGGTAGGGCACTGGCCCCATATACCAAGGGTGGCAGGTTGGAATCCGGCCCCGGCCAAACTGCAACAAAAAATAGCTGGGCGTTGTGGTGGGCACCAGTAGTCACAGCTACTTGGGAGTCTGAGGCAAGAGAATTGCCTAAGCCCAGGAGTTGGAGGTTGCTGTGAGCTGTGATCCCACGGCTACTGGGATCTACTGAGGGTGATAAAGTGAGATTCTTGTCTTCTAAAAAAAATATTAAAAACTCTTCATTTAAATAATTTAGGCATTTGGTAGTGTTATAAAGTAGATTGCAATAGCAAGAAAACTGTTGAGTGACCATGAGTAGAGAGAATCTTAGGCCTCTTTCATTGGTCCTCCTGGCATGTCCTGTAGGAGTTAAAAAGTAGGATTAGGCTACCATAGCTTATTGTCTCATTATGTCACAGGCTCAAAATCAACCTCAGGTGTGAAGAAACAGATATAACTGTTAGATTTAGGTTTCCAAATTTTTTTCTCTGCTGCACATTGGAAGAATAAGGGTTGTTTTGAGTCACACAGTAAGTATACAAATGCTAATGAAGGCTGATTAACCAAAAAAAAGGTCTGTTGGACACCCCTGCTTATACGTGATGTTATCATATAGAGGGAAAATCTCTTGCTTGGGAGTAGATTTAAAATTCATGTGGTGCATCTCTAAGAAAGACTTAAGGAAAGTATGCTAAGTATGCTGGTGCTAGAGGATTGTAAAATAGAAAATCTTTGGGACTGACTTTAAACCCCAGTATTACCCAGCTCTCTCTTTCTCTCTCTCTCTTACACATAAACTTGGATTACTGACCCAAGATAGATAATTCCATTTGGCACAATTCAATAAATACTTACAGATTGTTTACAGTATGCCAGATGCTATTAAGCTAAAACTAATTAACTGAATATACAAAGACCTTGTTATCATGGAATTTAAATTTTGACTGGGAGAAGATAGAGTATAACAAATATATACTATACCACTTAGTAAAAGGTGCTTTCTTAGGTATCTATCTCTGGCTTCGTAACAAACTATTCCAAAATTTATTTACTTAAACGTTGACTTTATTGTTTCTCACAATTAGGTGGGCTTAATAGGGTCTATGTGGATGCTTCGTCTATTGGTCTCCGTTGGTGTCTCTGGTTGGTGACTGGATCCAGAACCCTCAAGTTGACTCACTCTGTATGGCTCTCAGTTGGTCCTGGTGGTGGTTTAGGTGCTCACTTGGGGTCTCAATTCTTTTCCATTTGCCTTTTCCCTGTGGCTTAGGATACTCACAGCATAGTGCCCGGTTCCATGAGGGAGTGTAACAAATGGACAGAGGCAGGAAGTGCAGATTTTGAAAGTCCGGCCTTAGAAACTACACAATATCACTTCTACCACATATTTTTGGTCAAAATAGTTCTCAGGGAGGGGAAACAGAGTCCACTTTTTGATGTCGTTGTTGTGGAGTTTTTTGTTTTGTTTTTTCGAGACAGAATCTCACTCTTGTTACAGGCTAGAGTACTGTGGCATTGTGTGACAGCACCCTAGCTCATAGCAACCTCAAACTCCTGGGTTCAAGCCATCCTTCTGACTCAGCCTCCCAAGTAGCTGGGACTACAGGTGCCTGCCACAACACCTGGCTGGTTTTCTTTTTTTATTATTATTATTTTTTATTTTTTGTTTGGCTGGTTTTCTTTTATTATTTTATTAGAGCCAGGGTCTTGCTGTTGCTGAGGCTACTCTTGAACTCCTGAACTCAAGGGATCTGCTAGCCTCTGCCTCCCAGAGTGCTGGGATTACAGATGTGAGCTGCTGCAATTGGCCAAGGCAACATTTTAGATACCTGATGGAAATCAGAGAGTGAGTCATGAGAACCATAAGAATATTTTAGGGAAGAGTATTCCAGGCAGCGCGAACAGGAAATGTAGAAGCCCTAAAACAGGAGAATCTGTGGTGTGATCAAAGGATTGCAAGGACAGCAGTATGACTGGAATGAAACAATAGAGGGAGAGCGGTCGGGCATGAAGTCAGAGAGGAAGTGGGAAACAGATTTTGTAGCCATGGAAAGGACTTGGAATTTTCTGCAAGTGAGATGGGAAACCATGGAAGACACTGAACAGAGGAATTACATACGAGTTGAATATCCCTTATGTGAAATGCGTGGTGCCAGAAGTGTTGTAGATTTCAGATTTTATCACATTTTGGAATATATCATACTTACTGGCTGAAACATCTCAAATCGAAAAATCCAAAATGTTCCAATGAGCATTTCCTTTGAGTGTTATATTGGTACTCAGAAAGTTTTAGATTACTCTGGGAGGCTGAGGAGGGATGATTACTTGAGGTCGGGAATTCAAGATCAGTCTGAACAAGAGCAAGACTCCATCTTTACTAAAAAATAGAAAGATTAGCTGGGTGTGGTGGTGTGTGCCTGTAGTACCAACTACTTAGGAGGCTAACTCAGAGGATCCTTTGTTAGGATCCTTTGTCTTGCCCAGGAGTTTGAGATTGCAGTGAACTATGATGATGCGGCTGCACTCTGGTCTGGGTGACAGGGCAAGACCCTTTCTCAAAAAAATTTTTGGAGCATTTCAGATTTTCAGATTTGGGATGTGCAAATTGTATATGTTCTAACTTGAATTTTAACAGAATCCTATTTTGGCAATCTTTCACTACTCTCTTTGTGGAATAGATTATAAGAGGACAAGGGTAGCAGTAGGGAGTTAAGTCAGTAGAGATGATGGGATGTGCTTGGTGATGAGAAATGGTTGGAATTCAGGTACATTTCAAGGTAGAACAGACAGAATTTGCTTATGAGGGTGGATGTGGGGTGAGAAAGAGAGATCAAGGATGACTCTAGACATTTTTGTCCAAGGCACCTGAAAAACTAGAATTTTAGCTTACCAAGATGGGAAGACTAGGGAGGAGCAGGGTGGAGGTGAGAAAGATACAGGATTTCTGTATGATTTTTGGCTATGTTAAGATGCATTTAAGAAGATACATGGGGCCAAAAGATTGCTAAATGTTACTTCCTTATTGCAGGTGTGACGTTGAGTGCTTCAGATCTGGTCACTATGGTACGAGAACGAAAATGCATATTGTGCCACACTGTGTGCAGTTCAAAAAAGGTAATTGTGAAAGAGAGAGGCTTTATAACTGATTTTTAAGAGACATATGCTAAGCTTTTAACAATGTCCTATTTATGGTTCTTTCCTAAACCATAGTCTCATTCCACTGGTTTCTTTGTCATTACTGCCTTAAAAAGCCAGTGGCTGTTATTATACATCCGAAATGGTATTAACATCTTAGAAGTCCACAAGGTGGGGATGTTGCTCAAAGAAAAACAGACCTTTTTATGAATTGAGCTCATCTTTTTATTAGGAATATTGGCCACAATTTGTCTCACTTTTTGCAGTTTCTTGCTTTATCATTTGCTTTCATAGTAGTGCTGCTGGCTTAAATTCTGAGGAAATTATTCCATGTGTTTTTTCTTTTTGAGACAGAGTCTCACTGTGTCACCCTTAGTAGAGTACTGTGGTGTCACAGTTCACAGCAACCTCAAACTCTTGGGCTCAAGAGAACCTCCTGGGGCAGTGCCTGTGGCTCAGTGGGTAGGGCACCAGCCCCATATACCGAGA